CGTCTCTACTAAAAATAAAAAGAAATCAGCCAGACAACTAAAAATATAAAAAATTAGGCAGGCGTGGTGGTGCACGCCTGTAGTCCCAGCTACTCAGGAGGCCGAGGCAGGAGGATCGCTTGAGCTCAGGAGTTGGAGGTTGTAGTGAGCTGTGATTGTGCCACTACTCTCTAGCCTGGGAGACAGAGTGAGACCCAGTCTCTAAAATAAATAAATAAAACAATGTGGTACAGGTTGAGTATCCCTAATCCAAATATCCAAAACCTGAAATGCTCCAAAACCAGAAACTTTGAGCACCAACGCAACACTCAAAAGAAGTGCTCATTGGAGTATTTCAAATTTTGCACTTTTGGATCAGGGATGCTGAACTCTAAGCGTAATGCAAATATTCCAAAACAAAACAAAACAAAAAAATCCAAAATCTGAAATAATCTGAAACTCAAAACACTTCTGGTCCCAAGCATTTCAGATAAGGGATACTCAACTTATACTACTATCATCTGTTAGAATGGCTAAAATCCAAAAACCTAGCAAGGATGTATAAAGCAACAGGAACTCTACTGATAGCTGGTGAAAATATAAAATAGTACAGCAACTTTGGAAAACAGTTTGGCAGATTCTTAAAAAGCTAAACATAGTCTTACCACACGATTCAGCAATCATGCTCCTGGGCACCAAACTGATCCGAACTTACAGACATATGAGAACCTATACACCAATGTTTATGGCAGCTTCATTCATGATCACCCCAAACTGGAAGCAACCAAAATGTTCTTCAATAGGTAAATGGACAAACTGCAGTATATCCATACAATGGAATATGGTTCAGCAGTGAAATGAAATGAGCTATCAAGCCACAAAAAGACATGGATGAATCTTAAATGTATGTTGCTAAGTGTAAGAAGCCAGGCTGAAAAAAGAACATGCTATATAAATCCAATTATATGACCTTCTAAAAAAGGCAAAAATAAAGACAGTAAAAGATCAGTTGCTGCCAAGGGGTTTGGGAGAGGGAATCAGGTTGAATAGGTAAAGCACAGCAGATTTTTACAGGCACTGAAATTATTCTTTTTTTTTTTTTTTTT